AGAAAAATATTTTTTAACTCGTGAACTGGTTAATTACAGCTAAGAGCCAGTTCACAAACAGATTCTTTTGTAACTTGTTCGTAACAGCTCGCTGCTACCCTTTCAGTATCCCTTTTCACTTTTCATATTCCTTAAATGAATCTATACCAATCCGTTCAGAAATTTTAATTCTGTTATCTACTTTTTATGTGATAGGCAAATTGATGTGCATAGAATAATATAAATATTTTGAAAAATTGTAAATAAGAAGAAAATTAAGATACTCAAAATTCAATTTTAATTTTTAATAACTTACCGCATAACCGCAAAGAATTTAGTTCGAATATTATTTATATCAAAACAAAAAAATAACTGGGTCGGCTTAGAATAACGTCCAGCGTTTCGGAGATAAATGGTATGGGCGGGATAGAGGAGATCCTCCTGTTCAAGAATATATATAGAACTTATAGTTTTCGAGATATTTACGTTAAGTTGAAAATTTCAACTATTTAAAGTACGTATTTTGCGATTTAAAATGAATTATACACTTATATTTTTCACTTTTATATCACTAACACTTGACTAATTCGTTTTTAGAAATTTTTTTATATTAGATGCTGCCAAAATAGCTTTATTTCAATATTTAAATCATTCTTCAATTTTATTTAATTTTGACAATAACAATATGGTTGTGAATGTCAAAACATCAGTGTTGCCATACTAATATATTTTTTAAACGAAGAAAGAATTAAACGAAGTAAACAATAAAATAACAGAGAGAGTACCCTAGATACGGAAACAACGCAAAAAGAATTTCTGAAAAAAAACCTTGATACACCTCGGTGTTGGACCGACCGGGTTATTTTTTTAAAGCGCAGCCCGAAGGCCGCCAACGCAAAAAGGAATTCTGCGCAAAAAACCTTGATACACCTCGGTGTTGGACGACCAGGGTTTTTTTTTTAAAGCGCAGCGAAGGCCGCCAACGCAAAAAGAAGTTCTACAAGAAAAAGTAATATTGTCATAGAGGGTTAGACATATACTAAACATCAATGCTTTGTAATAGTTTATTTCTCTAGGTTTTGGATTCCTGTATTTGGGGTATTATCTGTTTTACTTTTCTTCAGTTCAATTACAAAAGATGTCGATAAGGTAACACTGGTTATTTGAATTTTGCAACCCTTTTGTTATTGTCAGAATTAATAGAATATAAAAATAATTTAATTATTGAATTAAACTATTTTTGCATTATATAATGTAAAATAAATGTGTACAAACGAATTAGTGAAGTGTTAGTGATATAAAGTGTAAAATATAAGTGTATAACTCATTTGAAATGGAAAAAATGCCGTACTTTAAATAGTCGAAATTTTGAACCAAATATCTCGAAAACTTATGTTTCCCGCGGCTATATATATATATATTCTTGATCTGGAGGATCTCCTCTATCCGCCCATACTCATTTTATCATCGAAAGCCTGGGACGTTATACTAAAGTTTTCCAAATAACTAATTCAAGTATGTTTTATAATGAGGGTCAGGCCCATGTAAACGCAATATAAATAATCTGAATTCCGCAGAATTTTGTCGCTACAACAACATCTAAGTGACTTGAAATTATGTGCAAAGTGCGTTAAATATATTGTACATATGTACGTAAATTAATGAAAAAATTCACTTTCCGCTAACGGATTTGTAATTTCGCGTAAAAATAAGACGATTTATAAAAAAAAATTAATTTTTGAGGCCTTCTTTGTTGAGGCACCTAAACTCTACATTTACCGGACCTCCTCTATCCGCTCAAACCAATTTTATCACCGAAATCGTGGGGCGGTTATTTTAAAAATTTCTCTTAAAAAGTTTTAAGCCTAAACAGCACTTACCAATTTCAATTTAATCCTTTCTTGATCTTCGAATCTGATTGTTTCAAAGTTCCAATGTCTCCCACAGATTGCGGTCGTTGCTTTTTAAAAAAACAACCTTCATGAAACCACAGCGGCAGTTTTCCATCATGAAAAGCGGACTACAAAATGATTTTCAGTTTTATTTTGTACTAATAACAAATATCAACATACCTGGACCATTGCCGCTAATCGAAGACAGCCTTGAGCGATTGGGCATTTACACATTTTACAAGAGGCTCTACCACTTTTGGCGTATTCACTTTTGTAAGGTAATTCTAAATCCATCTTTAAAGTGAACTAATACATATATCAAAAGAAATATGAACTATATTTTGTACTAAAATAATTGCAAGGGATACAAAGCTACCGGTCTTAGTTGATTGAAAAACGGTCGTATAAAAAGCATCTAGGGATGGAAAACTCGATTTGATTCTATTCGAGAATCGACTTTTCCATGTTGACATTGGACTTCCGAAGTAAATTAAGAAACAAGGTAACAATCCGTAATATTTATTTACAATTGAATATTATTATTTTTCCAAAATATTTCCGTGTAGATTTATTTTGAAAAAGTAAATAAAGGCTCTAATATCCAGTGTAATAAATTTACGAAACAGCTGAAATATTAAACAGTACGATTAATTTGATAAACATCTGAATATAACGCACAAAATGTAGTAAATTGTACAGTTTAGGTCCCCAACTAAGGAGGCCTCAAAAATAAACTTTTTTTTTAAATCGACTTATTTTTACGTGTAGATTACAAATCCGTGAGCGGAAAGTGAATTTTTCAAATTTAGCTGAATATATAAAATTAGGTACAATTCAGTTGATCATTAACAAAATACATTGCAAAACAATCATCTTGTATTAATTTCAACAAACAACTAATACCATGTTCATACCGACAAAAATTCGTGTTTTCATAGACAAAAGAGGTTTTCACGCGAAAACTTGTGTTTTCATCCATACATAACCGTCAACGAAACACAGTTTTCGCTGAAAATCCCTTGAAAATTTACATTCCACTCATTATTATCGGTGCCTGGTCTAGTTTAATCGATATTATTAGAAGACATATTTTGCCAGTCCTAAATGTCATTTGACAATTTGTTTACATTCCATAATTGGCCTAAACGTACCCTACAAGAAACTGCTGATGGGTTCACCAATCCACTCACATTTGATATGTCAGTACTGTTAATTTACATTTGCATTTTTAAATTCAGAACTATCCACTGATTGGAGAAAGCTGCAGAGCTATTGAAAAGAGGATACGGCATCAAGATGAAAATTTATTATATTATATATTTTCATATTTTATTATATTTTTAGTTGCATTCCTTTTATATTCAAGTATATTATTATAACTAATTTTCATTAAAAGTTGAAATTTATTAAAGAAATAACAATTATATTATCTACTGCGCAAAAGAATTTTCTTCTTGCTTATATCTTAATTGCTCTTAACACGACAACATTCTAACTAGAACTGTGTCTGCTTCACAATTCGGCAGCCCTTATATAGCAAATTCTTTAACAAAAGTTCGCTACTAGAACATTCTGGCAACTACGAAGTCGCTGTTAGTTCTTCTAGCAGTTTATCGTCGATTCTGATTTGTTCTGTTATTCGTGTTCGCCCAAAATATTCGTAGTTGCCAGAATGTTCTAGTAGTGAACTTTTGTTAAAATTTACTATATAATGGCTGCCGATTGTGCAGCAGACACAGTTCTAATTAGAGTGTTGCCGTGTAAAGAGCAATTAAGCTATAAGCAATAAGTTGTAAGTTCGAATAGCGAGCAATAGTGTTAAGTTGTTGGAAATAAAAGTAAAGATAAGTGGATAGTCGTTAAATTGGGATTTAATTTAACAATCCAGTGATCGAACTCAAGAGTGAGTTATAGTTAGATGATTTATCGAGAAATCCGTTACAATTGGTGTCAGAAAGTGGGATTGTCAAATAAAGGAGATAATTATTTGAAAATGGTCAAGTTTAACGATCTGCAGATTCCACAACTGAAAAATAAGCTGGAGCAACGTGGTTTGGCCACAAATGGATTAACAACTGATTACATCACGGTTGAGAGAGGCTATGGAGGCGGAAAATATTAATGTTGAGCATTATGTATGGAATTAGAGGAAGAGACAACAAAGATAGAAGAAACGGAAGAGGCTCAATGCTCGTCAAAGATGGTGGACATAAACATGATTTTGTTGCAATATCGCAGATGGGGAAAGAGCAGAATACACAAATGTCTCAGATGTCAACGCAGATATCAACAGAGGTGTCAACGCAAATTCGACACAATGTCGCAGTTAGAATCGCGGTTGTCCTCACAGTTGAAAGAGCAGGATACACGGATATCGCAGGTGACCTCACAAATAGCAGAAGTGTCGTCACAGATGTCGGAAGAGCGGAATAGAACTAAAACTGAAATGGATGAATTAAAAGATCGTCTCCGCGAGCTACAAATAAATCGGCCAATTGTGTCAACAGCTTCTGCCAAGATAAAACCTCCATCCTTTGATGGCACTGTTCCGTTCCACGTTTTTAAGTAGCCATATTGCACGCAACTGTAACCTGCCCAATAATCAGTTGGACGTAAACGCAAATAGTAGTCATGGATATGCTGATGCCATGTCCCACCGTCCCTGTAACCTGGAATGCAGACATTGCTCAAAAGCTGAGGCCAAGAAAGACATTATAGATGTCCGATTAATGACTATAACATCAGACTGGGATCCGGAGAAGCTACGGAAACGTCAGCAAGAGGATCCAGATTTGAAAAGTGTAATACACGAATTGGAGATGAATAACGTCCAACGAGAGAAGAAATAGCTGCAGAAAGTCCAGTCGCAAAGGCTTATTAGGTACTATGGAATAGTTTGAAGTTAATGTCTGGCTGCTTGCATCGCGTATGAGACAGCAAAGATGGGCAAAGTTCACGAGCTCTGATGATAGTTCCAAAAGTAAGAATTCCTAAAGTTCTCAACAGTTGCACACCGGTCCAAGTAAAGGACACATAGGTATCACTAAAACCTTGGAGAAATTAAAACAAGATTTTATTGGGCTGGTTGTCGTTAATCAGTTACGGAGTAGATCGCCCATTGTGTCGAGTGCATTGCTGTAAAAGAGCCGCGGTCCAGGAGTCATGGTCAGATGAAGCAGTATAATTCAGGTGCGCCGTTTAAGCGAGTACCATGGATGTAGCTGGTCCATTTCCTATCAGTAAATTAGGAAACAGAATGTTTTGGTAGTCATGGACTATTTCAGCAAATGGCCAAAGGTATACGCCATTCCTAACCAGAGGCAGGAACAGTAGCGGGTGTATTCATCAACAATTGGGTATCGAGATATGGTGTTCCAATAGAATTACATTCCGACCAAAAGAGAAATTTGGAATCAGCTCTAATACAGAAGATATGCCAGATGCTGGGTATCCGGAAAACCCGTACAACTGCACTACACCCTAGTCCGATGGCATGATAGAACGATTCAATCGAACTTTGGAAGAAACATTTGAGGAAAGTTGTGGACAAGTATCAAAAGATTGGGATACCCATATATCCTTGTTACTGATGGCTTATCGGTCTGCTCTACATGAAACACAACGGGACTCCAGCAAGAGTAATTTTTGGTAATGATCTTCGACTACCGATTGATTTAAAACTTGGAATTAACGCCAACGGAGGAAGGAATACTTAGATATTCAATAGCATCCTAGAAGACGAGATGAGTGGTATACATGCTACGGTGAGACACGCACCAAAATTATGAGCGATAAGATTAAAGCAAAATACGACAAGGCAACAACTCTGAGGGTTTTATTGAAGGCGATTGGTATTGTTATCTAGCCCACAACGAAAGAAATGGATCTCTCCTAATTACAGTGTAATTGGGAAGGACCATATCAGGTTATTAAACGACTCAATAATGTAGTGTATCGCGTGCAGACCATTGGAAGACCAAGGAATATAATGAAGGTGGTTCATCTAGAATAACTTGCAGCGTTTGGTACCGCAAATATGTCTAATCGACGATCAGATTTAGGTAAGGCAGTGTGGCGAACACGAATACCAGAACAAATCAGAATCGACGATAAGCTGCCAGAAGCAACTAGACAGCGAACTCGTAGCAGAGAACGTAATTATAGAGAAGGTTCATGGTGTGCCGATTGTCAAAATGTTCCTCTTGACGGAGGGTTACTCGCCAACATTAGAGCATTTCACCACAAACAAAATTATAAGCTGATTTCACCAGAATTTTACCCCTGCGGAGCGCAAAATACAGACTCGTATATTTACAATGCGCAAACGAATTTACATATCATTTTAAGATATTCTGCATATACAGGGCGGCTCACGAATCGTGCTACAAAAATAAACCGTAATAAGTTTCTTTTTAATCAATGCATTACATTAATTTTTTTGTATTGTATAGAAATCTTATTTTATTTTATAAATTAATTATCCTCCATGCTCAGTCACGCATATGCGACACCTAATTAGAAAATTAATGCGGGCTGGAGGGTTTGTGGGATTGCCTCAAATATCTATCTAATGGACTGCTTCAGTTCAGTCAGATTTCTGGGTTTGATTTTGTACTCCACTTGCTTGACATAAGCCCATAAGAAAAACCAAGCGGTCGCAAATATTCTTATGCATATATATGTAAGTATATGTATAATTATGTGTGCATGTAAACAAATATGAAAGTACCCATTATAATTGTTAATTTGTCTATATGCAACGTTTGTATGTAAATATGTACACTCATTGTTTCATGTGAAATCAGAACCATAAACACTCTTACAAACATACATCGCATATGGCAAGTGCAAAATCAACCCTTATTCATATACAACGTTGCATGCGTAAATGGAAACAAAGTCCACAAGTCATATACGGGCAGATGTGTGTACAAAGATTCAAATATTTACATACGCACTTACGTACATTTTTGACAACTACAGTCAATCCCGGTTAAGTGCCAAAACCAAAGTTGCAGATTTTTTGTGCTTTGTAGTACATAAGCGATTGTGGTACTTAAGCGAGTGGTACCAAAAAATAATTTCTATGTATTTAACAAAAATTACCGTTTTCCTTAAAAAATTAAGAAAAATAACGTGAGATGCAGCAAGCCACAGGCAGATAAGAGGATTGGAGGAGTGATACTTAACCGGGGTTTACTGTTTACATAAATCAGAGGAATATTGAATATTCTCTTTAAAAGTTTCTTGAATTGTAAATCGACAAATATACTATGTTGTCACTTTTATTCTAAAATATTTTAATACTCATATTTGCGGTTGTCACTTTTCCCTTCTAGACGGAATATCAGAAATTTGTTCTATTTATGATTTTTAGCTTTGCCATCGTCGTGAAAAGACGCTTTTTGGCAAAAGCATGCTCGGGGGATGTAAGGGTATCTGT